TTCCGATTTTGTCTGTTTCTAGATTTTAAAGTTTATTCCATAATTGAAGAAGCTAATCTTTTAATCTTTATTAATGGGTTTGCTCTCTCTCTCTCTCTCTTTTCCGTCAGCATATTTTGAACATGTGGACATTTATTTATTTATTGAATTTGATAAAACAGACATTCTTTCCTCTTCTAAATTTGAAAACTGTCTAACATGAAAAAGATTTGCACCTTCAAAACTTAAAAAAACAAGAAAAACTCTATTCATCATTTTTTTCTCATGACTGATTGTCATTTTGAGATTGCAGAAAATTTAAATAAATTTTCTTTCTATGAAAATTATTGAAAGTCACCACAAAGCAATTTTTTAATAGCATTTCAAAAGGATAGTTATTCTCTTGACATGACTATTGTAAAGGATGTCACAAGAAATACATAGGTGAAACATCCAGAAATTTAAATAAAAGATTATCTGAACACAAAAAGTAGTATTTTTTTAAACAACACTCAGTGAATTCAGCATTCATTGTAATGTCTGACCATAATTTTAATCTAAAGAATGCAGTTTTAATTAAAAGAGAGTCATTTCTTATGGAAAAATATGTAGAAAGTGTATTACTTTCTGAGTCTTCTACAATGAATTTACATTCAGATATCATAGAGCAGGTCACCTTTCTTAACAAATAGCTTATAATACTTTTGTGACAAGAGAAAGTGTAAATCATAGAGTGAGGGAAAATAGTTTGCAACTGAAGAATGTTATTTGAAAAAAAAAAAAAAAAAAGGAGGAAAGATTTATAAATTTAAAATTTCTTTATTTGACTTATTTCTATTAAAAAGGTTAATGGCTAAAAACTCCACATTGCTTATAGCTACACAACTCTTTTTTTAGTAATTCCTAATTTAATCCTATCAGCCTTTCTGAGATTTCAATTGTAAAATTCCTGGACTTTTGACCAAATTCTTGAAAATTCTGAATATCTGGTGTTAGTGTAATTGGTATATCTTAAAAATTGTTTCAAATTGGTTTTTAGATGAAGATAAATTGATTCCTCTTTGAAGAGACCAAATTTATCCTCCTTGCTGTTACTAGTTCTGTGAAATAGTGTTAATGATGTGTATTGAAATATAGTGCTACCTAATTGATAAAGGTTGATAAACCATAAAAAACAAATCAATCAATTCTTAAAATTGAGTTACTGCTGAACTGAATTCATGTGTAGCGTGTCTTGGGCAAGTAGACCTGACAGTGCCCAGTCCTCTCTAGATTAAACTGCAGTCAATGTCCTCAAACTTGAAGGCTCACCTTGGTCACAGATACATAGCCATTGATTCCATCAAGGGAATCTTCCACCCCTGCTGTTAACTTCTTTTCTTTGTATTTTTGCCTTGATTTTGTTGTTACTATTGGTAGTTTTACTAAGTCAAAGTTTTAGAATTTTCAATGCAATCAATCTGTTTGGCTTAAAACGTATTTTTTTCTTTAAATGACAACAAGAATCCATTTTGAAAAATTTAATAATCTTCACTTGTTATCTTCTGTCTTTTTAATTCCTGTTCTTTTATTATTCTTGTTTGTTAATAATGTTTTTCTATTGTTAAATCCCTGGACTCTTGGTTGAATTTTTGAAAAATTTGAATAGGTGATGTGAGTGCAATTGGTATATCTTAAGCATTGTTTCAAATTGGATTTATATGAAGATAAATTGGTTTCTCTTTCAAACAACACCAAATTTAGCTTCTTGGTATGACTGGTTATGAGATATGGTTTTGGAAATCTTTTACAAAATTGTAGATTTCTAGCCCCTCTAGTTGATCATGGGATGAGTGTTAATACTGTATATTGAAATAGACTGCTACCCAAATGCGGGTACATTCAGGCCCTCCTGGAATGAACCTTGCAGAGACTTGGGCGGGGGGTTCGGATCTTAAAAGGCTAGATATCACTGATAAAAATAGAGATTGTATTTTGTAGTAGTCACTTACTATCAACATCCTTAGCAGTTTGATGTATTTAGTATGCATTAAAAAAATCAATTTAATTAAAAAACAAACATGCAGTCCAAGAGATTTGGCTAATCCTATCAGACTTTAAGAGATTTCAATTGTTAAATGCCCGGAGTCCTGACCGAATTTTTGAAGATTCTGAATATCTGATGTTCGTGCAAAGTTTTATATGAGAATAAATTGATTGCTCTTTGAATTGTGACCAAATCTAGCTTCCGTGGCATTACAGGTTATGAGGTATTGTCTTGGAAATCTTTTACAAAGTTGTAAATTTCCTCTCCCGCTAGTTGAGCATCTGATAGGTGTTAATGCTGTACATTATTTACATTATTCGGACTATTATCCTTATCTTTGTTGCCATATTTATTACATTTCGGCTGTTGTACACTTCAGCCTTATTCAGATGGTTGGAATATCGAACTGAACCCTTTATTTCATTCAATGGGGTAGACTGTTCTAGTTCCACGTGCCATGTCTAATGGATGTCAGTTATCTCCTGTTAATTCACCTCTCCAAGTTCTCCACTGCCTTAGCTGGGTATTGAACTCACACTCTTTAGGTCCTGTCACTGGATCTAACTAATGCCTTTATCCACTGTGTCATGTGTCCTGAAGAAGGCCGGAGCGTCCAATGGTCAAAATGTTGTAATAAATATGGCAACAAAGATGAGAACAATAGTCCGAATAATGTAAAAAATGTACATAATACCTCATCTCAGAAATATAGACAGATACTTTTAATGCTGTGTATCAAAATACAATGCTACCAATTGAAGCAAATTCAGGCACTTCTGGCCTTTGAGGGTTATATAACACTAATAAAAATATAGATTGTATTGTATCAGTGTCAGTGTGTCTGTAATAGATTGATATATTTAGTATGTATATAAAAAAAAAAGATTCAATTTCCTTTGAAAAAAATTCTATCCAAGGGATTTCTTAAAAACCTTATCAGCTCTTAAGAGATTTCAGTCATTAAATTCCTGGAGTTCTGACCGAATTGTTGAAAAAATTTGAATATGTGACATTAGTGCAATTAAACTGATATAATTATACAAACTACTGCTTTGTGGAACCAACTCCCGAGAGGATGCTTCACCAATAGCTACAATCTTAACCTGTTCAAGTCTAAAGTCAACTGTTATCTTCCCTACATATCCACATAAACTGTATCTCTTACTTTGTAACCCTCTACCTTCTACCTTGAGTAGTTCTTGAGCCTTGTACAGGGCAAAAAAATCAAAAGCTGTTAAAAATCAAGAATAACAAGTTGATCTTATATGAAAGTAAATTAATTTCTCTTTTAACCAATACTAAATTTAGCCTCCTTGTTATTATTGGTTATGAGATATTGTTTTGGGCATCTACAACTTTTACAAAGTTTTCCAATACCAGTGACTCTAGCTGATCATATGATGAGTGTTAAATGTGGTTTATTGAAGTGCAGGTCTCCCCAGTTGCAATTTAGCCTCCATAGTGTTACAGGTTATAAAATATGATTTTGAAAATTTGCAACTATTGTCCTATTAGCCATCTCTTTTTGGGAAAATCCTAGAGGCCCTAATCAAAGCTGAATTGGCTCATCATCTCTCATTACAGAGCCTTTTCTCAGACAAGCAATATAATTTTCATTTTTCCAGTCCAACTGCTGATGTATTAATGATAATTGCAAAAAGAGACTATCATGTTCTTTATAAAAACGGTGAAGCCTGGACTGTAGCATTGGACATCTCAAAGGCCTTTGACAGGATCTAGCATTCAGGTATTCTCCACAAGCTGAAAAGTTACAGTATCTCTCAACACATTTTTGAGCTGATCCAGTCCTTCCTATCTAATCGTGAAATGAAAGTTGTCTTGAATAGCCACTTATCTATATTCATTCGTACTAACATGGATGTCCCACAGGACTCCATCCTTAGTCCTACACTGTTTTTAATCTTCATTAACCTTCCTGATGACATCAGCTCTCAGCTTGGCATCTACACTGATGAAACTACCATTTACTCCTTCTTTGTTAGTAAGGCAGATCAGTCTGACAAGGTCAAAATGGCGGCTAATGTCCAAAATGACCTCAAAACAGTCATTAACTGGGGCAAAAGATGGCTTGTTAATTTTAACACCTTCAAAACTAAACTTCTCTCTAGTAGTCATCTGAGAGACCCCACTCTGCTTTCCATCAGCATGGCTGATGCTATCCTCCAGGAAAGTGACTGGTTGCATCTTCTCAGGCTAATATTTTCAGCTGACATGAAGTGGAAAGACTATATTGAATCCATTGCTAGGTCAGCTGCTAAGAAAGTTGGTTCACTGTGCCAGGTGAGACAATTTTTCTCTCTGGAATCAATCTTGCATATCTACATCTACCATTCGTTCATTCTTAGAATATTGCTGCCATATATGGTCCAGTGTCCCTCCTATTTACCTAAATCTCCTTCATCCAAAGAAGAATCAGCAATATTATTGGTCCTGATTAGATGGCTTGTTTTCTGTTACTTGCTCACTGCCATAAGGTTACTTCTCAGTGTCATTTTTAAAAATACTTTTAAATACTTTCATGGTAATTGTTCAAATGAGCTCTTCACTATGGTATCTAGATTGTATGAATTTAAGTGCAATACTAGACTGGTGGTGAGCTCTCATTAATTTACAGTTGAGCTGGCTAGAGATAGTCATAACTTCTATGTTAACAGTTTCTTTTCTCACACTTCTTGTTTGTAGAACTCTGTCCTGAGCCTAACATTAATCTGCAAAAATTTAAATGCAATGTCAATCACTATCTACTGTCCTCCTGATTACTCTTTTCTCTTCACATTTATTACTAATGTTTCTGTTCATAATTCCTCCACTTTAACCCTTTGCATCTTAGAGGCTATACTGCCTTGCTTGGGGTGATACCAATTTAAAAAAAAAAGTTGTAAGTTTTCAAAAAACTGAATTTCTAGTGCCTTTAGCTGATCGTGTGATGAATATTAACTGTGTATTGTGCAGATGTAGTCAAACACTTCTGGGCTTGCAGTCACATCACGTTGAAACACTGGTTTCTGTATGATCACTGAAGTTAAGCAATGTCGAGCCTGGTCAGTACCTAGATGGATGACTGACTGGGAATACCAGGTGCTGGTGTTGTAATCTATAATGGTTTGCAATTGTTAACTGGAGAAATGAGTTCCAAATCCAGTTGACTTCATTATATTCATTTATATGCATTCCTACCTTAGGAAAGGTAGGAATCCACCATTTCTGCTCCCAGTTATGGGTTAATTAGTAATATTTGTGTCATTAAACCATTATTATCTTCAAAAAAAATTTGTGTACAAAATATTTAGATTTCAGCATTAAATAACCCATAGAGGTGTTGATATGCATCCAAACAAAAGCAACCAACCAACAAACATAAACACATTAGTATCTCCAAAAAAAACGTAAAAAGTTTCTTACAATCCAAAAATATTTTCTGGCTTTAAATAACCTGCAAAGGGTTGATAATCTGTAAAAAACAGATCATCAGATGCTTATTGACTGCAAATATGTGAAAGCATGTGCCTTTGCACTCTTTTGTTTCTTAAAGGGTTAACACTGTGTTTTGATTACAAATTATATATCAGTCCAGTTGAGTCAGGCCAGAATCCTTGTCCCCCAATCATTGGTGTATTATTGGATTCATTATAAGATATACAGTGGAACCTCGGTTTGCAAATTAAATTCGTTCCTGAAGGCTGTTCATAACCTGAAATGTTCATAAACAGAAACTATTTTTCCAATCGGAACCAATGTTGAGAAAAAGTCGTAGTACAATAAAATTGGAAAAGAAAAGCACAACACAACACACAAACGTATAAAACACAGCAGTTGACTCAGAAATTATTCTGTTCAGGTTAATTCAATTTGGCAATGTTGTTTAAGAACTGAGGCATCTTCATCTCAAATTTTCTGTTCGAAAACCAATTTGTTCAACATGTGAGATATTCATGAACCGAAGTTGCTTTGTACTACAATTCTTTTAAGTGTTTGGTTGAAGTATAAAAACTGACAACGACAGCTTCCAGTTTCCAAAGAAGAATTCTATTTTTTTTTCAACCAGATGATCTCTTCAAAGATGAAGAGGAGACTTGATGCAATAGAAATGTGTTTCTACAGAAGGATGCTGAGGATAGCGTGGACTGAACATGTGAGTAATGGCAAAGTTTTAGAGGAAATAGAAACAAAAAAGAAACTAATACTTAACATCAGGAATAGACAGTTGAGGTTTCTAGGGTATAAAATGAGGAAGGAGGGCTTGGAAAATCTGATACTCACAGGACAGATAGAGGGCAAGAAAAACAGAGGAAAACAATGCATAACATACTTAATGAGCTTGAGTAAATGGATGGTGGAACAGAGAAATAACAAAATGAGTTTATTAAGTGCTACAGGAAGTTGTGGAGAGCCATGATCACCTACATCCTGAGGAGACATGGTACTTAAAGATGAAGAAGAATATTTCCATGAAAAATGTCTTCTGAATAGCAAATGCTACCTTTGGCAATACTTTGAAATAATAACTGCAGATTCATTCTGTTTTCTTTGTTTGAATTCTTGCCTTTGTAGAAATTTCCTTTTCTGTAGAACATTATTGGAATCTTGCATTAAGATTTTATATTAAAAATTTTTCTTTTTTTGTTGTACTATTATTTAGCCTCCATTTCTATTTGGTTCTGAGAAGCCTTTTAGTTTTTGGTTAGATCAGCAGATCTCTGAAAGAATTGTTGCATTTGCAGCAGAGATTCATCACCACTGCATGTCACTCTCCCCGAAAACAGAAGCACTTGACTTGAAACACAATAGGCAATAAGGTGAGCTCTTAAACAAGAAGAGGGTCTGGGATTGTAATGGCGTAAGCTGGATATGCCATGGAGTGCGACAGGAAAAAAAAAATGGAGGAAGCTGAATTGAACAGAAAATTCTTTTTATCTTTGCAATAAGCCCACACATGAAATTAAAGCTATCTGTTGTTCTTGGCAGTTCTTGGGTGAAAATAAGGCTTGATTGCTGTGGTCAAGACAAATGTGACAGTGTTCTTCAAAATTGTTCTGTCTATTGTTACATAACAGAAAAGTTCATTGAGTGCACATGTTTATATAGGTTTGTGTCTTTTTTTTTTTCTACCAATGTTGGTGCCACCTTTCTTTTATGAGAACTACCGGGTGTAACGTCAACATTGTCCAAATCATTTAACAGCATGTGATAATTGCCCATCCAACAAAATGTTTAATATCTGAAAAACCACTAAACTAATTGAGTTTCTTTTTTCCAGGTTTTCAAATAAGACATTTAGCCATCTTGACACCATTTGTTATAAGAATCACTGAAATACCCTTTGAGTTAAAATCATTTTGTGTCGGTACCACTGTTTCTTAACTGAGCAATGGTGAGAGGAAAAAGAACACTCCCACCTTCAGTAGTGGTATCAACATTCATATTCTGGCTTCCATCTTCAAAGTCCATTCAAGAACCATCAAGAGAATTTTGAATATTTTAAAAAAATAGGGAACAATAGAGAGAAAAACTGGATCAGAAGGTCACAACTGGAAGACGGATCATCATTTCACCTTAGAGCTAAAGAGATCAATTAGAAAAAATCCAACTCAATCGATAAGACGTTTAGCATGAGAGAGGAATTTCAGCTATGACAGTCCAAAGAGCAGTCGAAAAAAATTTGAAAATGAAATCGTATATGAAACCTGTGGGACACCATGATAGAAAGTTAGAAAGAAGATAATCTTGAATAAGTTGGAAAATGATCCTGGAATAAGATATATATATATATATATATATATTTGAACTTTATTTCAATCCTTTATGAGCTTCCAATCCTTAACTATGATTAATTAATAATGAACGTCATTTTCATTTATGATCGCTTTCATTGCGATTCTTTTGTTAAGCTTGGAGAGTAATTATACATTCTTATTGCTCAAAGTAGAGCCCAATAGTGTTATAACAACCTCAAAGAACTCCAGTAAGATATCTTTAATCATTTTTAAGATAAAACGGTTCAAAGATTAATCTAACAAATGGACAATTTTGCTGTTACACTTGGTAAGTCTTATAAAGATGTCATTTCCAAAAAGTTATTTTAAACATAGTGGATTTTTTTATATGCAGTAGACTTTTTCCCTGTTTCATTTATGTTCAACAGCTCTTCCTAATTTTTTCTTGTCTAGCGCCCCTTTTCATATATTTGCACAGCCTGGTGCTTCCCATGTTAAAATTGCACTGGTAGATGGAGCAGAATTAAGACAACAGCTAATATCATGTGTTTCTGTTTTGTTGCATTATATCAGTGCTAATCATCAAAAGTAATTTGTGGCAGAAGCAACCAAGGTACAGTCACCAGAGCATATGTTACCCCCCCATTGTATGGGTAAAATAGGAGAGAATAGGTATTGGTTAAAAATTAGGAAGAAAAGAAATTTCCTAACTAAAAGACAACTGCACAGGTTGTTGAAAATATATCTTATTTCTGAAATAGCTGACAGTCACAAATCACACAAAAATGGAGGATGTGGTGGTATGTTTTCATTGGCCTGTGAATTGACAAATCAGCATTTAGCAAGCAGGCAAGGTTTCCTGATAAAAAAGGAGTTTCTCTCTCCTGAATTCTTCAGTGAATATTTTCACCTTGGAGAAATGTGAGTCTACAAATGCTGGAATTGGGGAGTTTCTCTCAGTCATTTCACCTTTTCCATCACTGACAAGTAGTCAGCAAAATTCCCCTTGTGGGACAATAAAAATAGCCAATATAGTCTATATCTGTTGTGCTATTTAATACTACGAAAAACTTTCTCCAAGTGAAAAGATGGATGATTTGATTTTCAGTAAGAGACAGAGACAGTGTGATTTGGGGGGTATTGACCTGGAGACAGCTGTTCAGACTTATACAGCTACACAACTGATATGGCCCACTATTGATCAATGACTATTATTACGAAACACCAGTTCAAGTTACATAATCTTATGTGATGTCATGACAATATCAGACATAGAAGCTGATCAACTTTGGTTTGCAGATTATGGGGCTCAACCCACCTATTACAATTGCATCTAATTGTTTAAAATAAATCTGAATATCAAAATATATAAACAAAAACAATAAATGCAAAACTTCAATGAAAGTTTAAAGGGTTAAATCAGCTAATTGTCCTTTTAAAATTATACTATCCTCTCTCCTAAATTCCTTGAAAACTTAATGTCCTTTCAAGAGTTCATTAGCCTTTAATAATGATCATAATAATAATAATATTTTGTAAATATTCAAAAATTGATCAATTTAAACATTCACAAAGTTATTAAAATATGAATCATCAGATGATTATTAAGTCACAATTTTCATCCCTTCACTTAAATTTGTGGGTGGAAGAAATTCTCCTCAGAGGAATCTTCCATCCTTGCTGTTAACTTATTTATTTTCTTTCTATTTTTGCTTTGAATTTGTTGTTACTGTTGGTAGTTTTACTAAAAGTCAAAGTTTTAAAATTTACAATACAATCTGGCTTGAACTAATTTTTTTTTTACTTTTTCCTTTAACAACAAGAATCAATTTTCAAAAAATTCCATCATCTTCAATCTTTATCTTCTGTCTTCTTAATTCCTGTTCTTTTATTATTCTTGTTCTTTAATAATGTTTTTCTTTTTTCTTATATTCTTTAACACTCAGTAACCCACTGCATCTTAACGATTTTATTGCCTTACTTGAAGTGAAATGATAAAAAAAGAATCTTTAACTTGATAGAAAAATTAGGAAATACACAAAATTTTATTTTGTATTTACTAATTTTTCCGTACTAAATTAAGTTTCAAAGTGGAGATATTTATATTTAGCATTTAAAAAAAAAATTCTGTTAAATTTCAAATCTTGCATCGTATGAAAAAAATACAATTTTGCATTTTTAAACCAGTTTCACTTAATCATCATAGATCTAAAAATGGAAACACTTGCTAACCTGCTCGTTTTTGAGGTTGCACATTGTAAGTGCGTATTTCCTTTATACTAAACAAAATGCATACAGCATCCTTAAGTGATGGAATGAGAACTTTCAACCAGGCCTCAATCTGCATCTGACAGACATTTTGGAATCTCA